TCCTGGCTAACACGGTAAAACCCCATCTCTACTAAAAATACAGAAAATTAGCTGGGCGTGGTGGTACAGGCCAGTAGCGCTAGCTACTCGGGAGGCTGAGGCAGGAGAGTCGCCTGAAGCCGGGAGGCGGAGGGTGCAGTGAACTGAGATTGCACCACTGCACTCCAGTCTGGGCAACAGAGCGAGACTCTGTCTCAAAAAAGAAAGAAAAAAAAAAAAAAAAAAAGGAGAGCACAGGGGGCTTTAAAGTCCAGGCCCTGCATAATTGAACATCCTGGGTTCAAATTCCAACTCTGCTGCTCACTGGCTGTGTGGCCTCAGATAAGTCAGCTAACCCTCTCCGAGCCTCAGTTTCTTCATCTGTTAAGGCAGGAGTAACGATACCTGCCCTTGGGGTTGCTAGGGGAATTAATGGGACAGTACATAGAAAGCAATCGGCTTGCAGTGAGCAGCTGGCTACTTGCTGTGACAGTGTTAGTGTGATATAGAATTAGCCCAATACCAAACGTGGCATCTACTATGTCACAGTGGCCGCCACCTCTGGCAGGAATCCAGTGAGTAAAACTGGAACAAATTCGGACCTGGGGACTGCTAGAGCACCTGGGCTCTCCTGCAAGCAGTGCTACCATATGCACAGGATGAGTCAGGACGCCGAGCAGGGCTGAGCCCGCTCTGAACAGGGTGAAAGCAGCACGACGCAGTGAGCAGCGAGGCAGCAGGTCGCAGCCTAGGGTCCCGTGCCTCCCTCCACTGTTCTTCCAAAGATTTTCCTAGACTTAGGAACGCGGACAGCCTGCTGCTCACAGGCTATGGCGGGCTGCGTGCTGGGCTTCTGTGGGAGTGAAGGCTCACCAAGGCTGGGTGGGCTATTTCTGACCTCACCACGAGGGGCAGCAAATACGGTAAAAGAATGAGCATGGGGAGAGGAAAGAGGCTCCGGGCAGGATCCAGGAGGCCTGCCTTCCAGCCCTGCCCCATCCCAGCTCGGTGGGCCTGCCCTTGGCCTGCCCCCTCTGCTTCCAGTCATTGATCTCCTCATGTGGAGAATTCCTGTACAGCAATGGTTCTTAATGGGGGTGAGCACCAGAATCACCCGGAGAACTTTACGTATAGATGCCCAGGCCGCCTCTGCCCCCTCCCATGTTATGGAATCGGGTCCAGCTATGAAGACTCTGAAACCTCTCCAGGGGAGAGGGGAAGAAGGAGATAGGGGTGGGGAGGGACGTCATGTCCACCTGCTCTAGGGGCTTCTGTAAGACTGACCTCTTGTGGATTCTTCTCCCTCCAACTCACTCTCAGGAAAATGACCATGCCCCTCAATTCTGGCAAATACTTCTTACTGATTAGAAAAGGACCAGTGCCCACTGAGGCAGGAAATGCCACAGCCCATGCAAATGCCCCACAAGTCAATGCTCTCCCTGATTTAGCAGCAAAAGAGCCAACGCCCCCATGGGGCACAGGAGGTGCTGCCCCTGCCCTAGATGGTACTCCTTCCTCTTTGAGTGAAAGAGGAACTAGGAAGGCCAGCAAGGAGACAGATTATCCCCTCATTCCCAGCTGACTTCCCAGGAGGATCCTGGAACTTCGAAAAGGACAAAAACAGCGGCACTGGTCGTTGCCATAAATTGTGTGAACACCATGTGCCAGGGGCCGAGCAGGGCGCCTCTCATGCTTCATCTCATGATGACCTCTGTGAGGGAAGCAGGCCTATGACGCACTCAGGCCTGGAGAAGTTTAGCAAATTACCAAAGTTCCCCAGCTTGTAAGTGGCGAGGCCAATTGGCAAACCCAAGTCCACCTCCCTCCAAGGATCAGCTTAACACCTATACTTCATGCTAAGTGAAAGGCGGTCCAGAACCTTCAAGTCCACTGGCGGTTCAGGATGATACAGTCATGACTCAAAATGCTGGGCAATGCCCAAGAGCAGGCAGTAATCCTTTCTAAGGAGTTTATACCATATGATTCATGGGACACACGGAAGCAAAGGTCCACAACAGCCACTTAAAAGGTGAAAAATTTCCAAAACAATCCTTCCCTGGGTGTCAGGTCAGCCACAGAGCCTCAAACACCCCCACCTACTCTTCATCCTTGTCGTCTGCTTCCTCTCTGCTGTGCTTCAGAGGGAACTTTGAGTCAAACACAAAAATTAAAGAAATAAAGACAACAGACAGCCTGGCTGGCGTTAAGAGTACCTCTGACTCACTCTGAGTCTTGGCATTTCCACAATCTGCTTAAGCCCCGGGCTCCAGCTCACTCAGCATGGGGGACAGAGGAGCTTCCCCAGTTTGTGGTCAGGCACGGGCCTGAAAGTCTGGTTTCTCTCAATCACCAGAAAAGACACCAAAGGATGCAGGCCATGTGCTGACCTGGGACCACACCAGCCTGAAATGTCCCTTCTGGGAAGGGTTTAGTTCACGAGCTGCCCTCTGGCCTCCATGAAAAAAAGATCCCGCTAATCCCACTCAAAGACCATTATCAGGAGCAAGTATGGGAAAGGCTTCGAGTAGTCAGGAACAACTACACGGAGCATGAAATTCTCTGATCTTCAAAACGTTGAGCCATGTGAAGAATTAAAAATACATTTCTGGCCAGGCATGGTGGCTCACGCCTGTAATCTCAACATTATGGGAGGCCGAGGTGGGCAGATCACCTGAGGTCAGGAATTTGAGACCAGCCTGGCCAACACAGTGAAACCCTGTCTCTACTAAAAATACAAAAATTAGCCGCAAGTGGTGGCACTTGCCTGTAATCCCAGCTACTCGGGAGGCTGCGGCAGGAGAATCACTTGCACCTGGGAGGCGGAGAGTGCAGCGAGCCAAGATTGCACCATCGTACTCCAGCCTGGGCAACAAGAGTAAAACTCTTGTCTCAAAAAAAAAGTAATAATACATTTCCAATTTCCAATATACATTTGAAGCAATGACCCAGGAGATATCAAAAGTCATCAAACTGAACAGTTAAGGACTGTGCATCTTAAACAAACTATATCTTAAATGATAAAGAGCATCAAAGAAAAGCAGCAGAAACAGCTCCTGAAAGTAGAACTCAAGACCCCACAATACCAGGAAAGGCTAGCTCTGAAAAGGACTTCTGCTGTCAAGCCTGTTAGGTTTCTAGCTCCTCTTTACCTTCAATTCTAGAACCACAATGCACTAAAGGCATTGCGAGAGGGTGGTGTGCAAAGGGCCACGCCGGTCTCAGACCTGGCTCTCAGCAGTCTCTCCTGTTTCTCTGCCAGCCGCAGGCTGCAGCTGCAATGCTGTGAGCTCCGCCAGGGAGACTTGGGATGCGACACTGCAGCTGGGCTGAGGTGCACAGCACCCCCCACCCCTCCCATCCACTGCACACAGTCCGTCAGCAGTGAGCTAGGTGAAGATGAAGGTCAGACTTCCCAAAGCTTGGTGACAAAGGCTGGTTAATAGCAGGCAAAACCTTCTCAGCAAGAGAATCTGACCTTCCCTAAATACTGCAGTCATCAATTGAGAAGAGTTGGTTCTCAATGATGTCCCAAGACACATGGAAACCACATGCATGTTAACACCTGTAGGGAGAAGAACCACGACCAGACAGATCGAGGGAGGGTATGCCACCATGGACCACTAACCAGGCTCTCTTGGTGGCTGTGGGCCCCAAAAAGTACTAGATTCCCAACACTTTAAAGGCCTAAAAAAACCTGGCAATGTGTCCAAGACAAGGCTGCTCCTCAGCCAGATGATATGATAGGCCTCTGCTTTTGGGGGTAGCTTATATGAACTCAAGAGTGGTATCCCTGGTTAATGAATTATTTCATAATGTTGATCAAAAGCTGTGATTCAGTTGATGGCATTACAAGAATATAGTGCAATCTGCTAAGGAAAAGTAGCAACAAGAGGGTTTTGGTGATGAAAAAAATTTTAAATCACTGTATTAAACCAGCTTAATAAAAAACACATATTGGCCAGGCGTAGCGGCTCATGCCTGTAATCCCAGCACTTTGAGAGGCCGAAGCGGGCAGATCGCCTGAGCCCCCCTAGTAGCTGGGATTATAGGCATGCGCCACCATGCCCGGCTAATTTTTGTATATTTAGTAGAGACAGTTTCACCATCTTGGCCAGGCTGGTGTTGAACTCCTGACCTTGTGATCTGCCCGCCTCAGTCTCCCAAAGTGCTGGCATTACAGGTGAGACCCACTGGGCCTGGCCTATTTTTTTTTTTAAAGAAAAGAAAAAACACCAGAGCAGAACTGCTCTTTGAGGTCCTTTCCAGTGGAAATGGCAGAAAAGAGAAAGCAAGAAAAAAAATGAGAGGAAAAAAGGGAGAGGATCTCTCCTGGGAATGAGTCCTTCCAGGGCAGTCTCACATCATAAAGAGGCTGGTGCGTTCCTATCCAAATCACGTAGAATAGTAATACGATGATTTAAATTAATCTAAAGAAGAGGTCATTAAATCTGGGGTCTGTAAATTCCATGATACTTCATGGAAAACTCTCCATAGACATGGGGAAGTCCACACCTCTCACTAGATTCTCAAATAGGTCTATTATTCCCCAAAGGGATAAAAACCACCAATCAAGGAAGGCCAGGATGAAAAATAAGAATATATAAACATAAGTTGCAGCCATGATGCATGCAATGATTATTTCTCTTCTTGCCTTCCCTACTAAGTTTCTTGTTAGGTCTGTTTACATGAGCACACCCAAATACAGCAGAGTTCTTTGGCATAAGCTGCCCTGAGCTAACGGACATCTTAAATAACCACAAGCATCTGGCCAACTAAGCCTGAAATAAGCTCAACAGGCAAAGGAGGAAAAGAACCAGAGAGACTTTCACTCGTCCTCACATCCCCATGGCTATGAGAGACTCAACAAGCCTCATCTCTAACACAACAGTTCCCCACCTTTTGGTCTGAAGACCTCTTCACACTTTTAAAAGTTCTTGAAGATCCCAAGTTTTTTTGTTAATATGATTACATCTATAAATATGCATCAGAAAGTAAAACAGGATGGGTCCAGTGGCTCACACCTGTAATCCCAGCCCTGTGAGAGACTGAGGCAGGAGGACAGTTAGAGGCCAGGGGTTCAAGGTCAGCCTGGGCAATATGGTGAGACTCCACCTCTACAAAAAAAGTTAAAAGATTAGTGCACACCTGTAATTCTAGCTACTTGGAAGACTGAAATGAGAAGATCACATGAGCCTAGAAGTTTGAGGTTACAATGAACTATGATCACACCACTGCTCTCCACCCTGTATGACACAGTAGGACCCGTCTCTAAAATTAATTAACTAATTATTATTATTTTTTTTAGATGGATTCTCACTCTGCTGCTCAGGCTGGCGTGCAATGGCATGATCCCAGCTCACTGCAACCTCCACCTCCCAGGTTCAAGCAATTCTCTGTCTCAGCCTCCCAAGTAGCTGGGATTACAGGCACCTGCCACCACGCCTGGCTAATCCGCATCAGGCTAATTTTTTTTTTTTTTTTAGTAAGAGATGGGGTTTTACCATGTTGGCCAGGCTGGTCTTGAACTCCTGACCCCATGATTCACCTGCCTCGGCCTCCCAAAGTGTTGGGCCTATGGGCATGAGCCACCATGCCCGGACTAATTAATCATTTGAAAAAAAAAAAGAAAGAAATTTCAGGAATATTTAATTCATTCAAAAGTAATAAAAAAAAAACTCATTACATGTTAACCTAAGCAACATTTTCTGTTAAAAATTTTTTTTAAAAATTTTTCTTTTTTTTTTTTTTTTTTTTTTTGAGATGGAGTCTTACTCTGTTGCCCAGGCTGGAATGCAGTGGCATGATCTTGGCTCACTGCAACCTCCATCTCACATGTTCAAGCAACCCTTCTGTCTCAGACTCCTAACTGGGATTACAGGTGTGCAACACCATGCACAGCTGATTTTTGTATTGTTAGTAGAGACAGGGTTCCACCACGTTGGCCAGGCTGGTCTTGAACTCCTGACCTCAGGTGATCGGTCTGCCTTGACCTCCCAAAGTGCTGAGATTACAGACATAAGCTGCTACACCCGGCCCCAAAATAAAAAACCTCTTTTCTAAAAAAAAAAAAAAAAAAAAAAAAAAAAATGAATGAGAAGAGTGAAATTATTTTCCATTTTTGTAATTCTCTTTAATGTCTAGCTTAATAAGATGCAGCTGGGTCCTCATCTTTGATTCAATCAGCATTCAACTTGCTGTAAGGGAGCATTTGGTTGAAATATATGAAGAAAATCTGGCCCCATACAGACAGATGTAGGCCTTTTCGGATTACTGTGAATAGTCTGTGATTCTGTACTAAAACCCGACAAGTGGTAGCTTCTGAATATGAGGGGAGGTGGGGACTCTGAACTGTATCAATGAACTTTCCACACTCTTACATTAAACTCCACTGGTCCATCGTGCTCTTCCCGAACGCTTTTGCCCCTGAGCATGATTATGGAGCATCCTGCACTGGCTGCATGGAGCTCACTGTTTCAGAGCATTATATATAGAGCTCCCAGATACAGAAACATTATAGAATTTAAAAAAAATTACATTTTTGGTATCACCTCTGCTTATATCAGAAGTCTTATTTTTTTAAATTATTATTTCCTTATCCACTTGACATCCGAAGAAGTCTTATAAGAAGTGGGGCCGGGCGTGGTGGCTCAAGCCTGTAATCCCAGCACTTTGGGAGGCCGAGGCGGGTGGATCACGAGGTCAAGAGATCGAGACCATCCTGGTCAACACGGTGAAACCCTGTCTCTACTAAAAATACAAAAAATTAGCTGGGCATGGTGGCGTGTGCCTGTAATCCCAGCGACTCAGGAGGCTGAGGCAGGAGAATTGCCTGAACCCAGGAGACGGAGGTTGCGGTGAGCCGAGATCGCGCCATTGCACTCCATCCTGGGTAACAAGAGCGAAACTCCGTCTCAAAAAAAAAAAAAAAAAAAAAAAAGAAGTGGGAAACTGGCCAGCCATGGTGGCTCATGCCTATAATCCCAGCACTGTGGGAGGCCGAGGTGGGCAGATCCCTTGAGGTCAGAGTTTGAGACCAGCTTGGGCAACAAAGTAAGACCCCATCTCCACAAAGAATACAAGAATTAGCCAGGCGTGGTGGCAAAGACCTGTAGTCACACCTACTCAGGAGGCTGCACTGGGAGGCTAACTTGAGCCTAGGAGGTCGAGGCTGCAGGGAGCTGAGATCGTGCCACTGCACTTCAGCCTGACAGCCAGGCCCTGTCTCATAAAAAAAAAAAAAAAAAAAGGAACTGGGGAACTGTCAGAAAACTGTCAGGCTTACAAGGATAAATACAAGTTTTCCTTTATCACTGGCAACAAATACCGTTAATTATTTTTCTTGAAGTAATATGTTCACTTCGTTCATTTTCAAGAAAATGCCCACCAAAAACCCAAGCCTGTGTAACCTTAACAGTCAGTCATTCTTTCAGATAAAAGCAGCGTGGCCAGGCACAGTGGCTCACGCCTGTAATCCCAGTACTCTGGGAGGCCTAGGCAAGTGGATCACTTGAGCTCAGGAGTTCAAGACAAGCCTGGGCAATATGGCAAAATCCTACCTCTACAGAAAATACAAAAATTAGCCGGGCATGGTAGCTCACGCCTGTAGTCCCAGCTATTTTGAGGGCTGAGGTGAGAGGATCGCTTGAGCCCAGAAGGTTGAGGCTGCGGTACGCCAGGACTACACCACTGGACTCCAGCCTGGGCCACAGCACAAGACCCTGTCTCAAAAAAATAAATAATAAAAAAATAAAAGCAGCTAGTTCAGCTTGCAATTCAAGCAACTGCACAGGTACGTCCCTCAAGGCCGCAGCCATCACACTCCAGGCCCACAGCGTGCTTACGCACACCGCCCGTGTTGTCTCACAGAACATTAAACGGCACGGGTTGAGATGTCATCGCATGAACAGTTTTATTATTTCAAGGCCATTCTTAAGTGATGTGAGCCTTTTTCACCCCCTGTGAGGAGGTGACAGTAAAGAATGTGGTGGCTGCTGGGAGAGTCTGGTGCCACAGCCTTGAATCACGTGAGGGTGCTGGCAATTTTACCCACCGCTACTTTTCGCCATCAGGCAAACGTCAACAGTGCAAGAGACTAATACCATATGATTATGAAAATAGTTTTGACCCTGAGGACCCCCTTGAGAACCACTACCCTAAAAAATGCCTTGCACAGCCGCGGCTACTTTCAGAGCATGGCGGCACCTTGGAATGAAGCCGTTCCTCCATCACCTCGGCAGCAGCCAACTGGGACAGTTTAAATACTTCTGAAGCTCACATAAAAGCTCAGGCTCTTCAGAACACATCTTTCCTCAGAAACACAAGGCCAAAAAAAGGATGGTCAGCAGCAGAGACTGTTAATTAAATTTATGGTGTGTATCTCCAAGCCAGTCCTATTAGGTAATGACACTGGAGAAAGAGAAGGGAACGGGGATGCGAGCTCAAGGGCAGTCAGAGCCAGTAAATCTCGGCAGGGGAGACGGAATGGAGCCAGCACTAGGTGTGTCTGCGCGAGACTCAATTAAGCTCCCTCTCAGAGGATGTGGTGCAGCTGAGTCTCAGTGACCAAGGACCTGAGAGAAGCCACAGTGTTGTGTGACAGGAGAGACAAAGACGCGGCTTAAGGACAGTGGGCAGATCCGGCCTCAATGTTTCCCTTTAGATTTCCATCAGGTTTGGTCAAAAGGAATCCAGACACAAATAAATTAACAAAAGCCAGACACACTCTGAAAGATACATTCACCCCAAATGCGGGAAGGAAAACTACAAAGAGCATTTCTCTCACTTGCAATTACTGGGTCGGGACTGCGTCTAAACTTAAAATGAGATTCTTTGCCATAGTGGTTTTTTGTTGTCGTTGTCGTTTTCAGACAGGGTCTGGCTCTGCTGCCCAAGCTGGAGCACAGTGGTGTAATCTCAGCTCACTGTAGCCTTGACCTCCTGGGCCCAAGTGATCTCACCTCACCCTCCCAAATAGCTGGGACTACAGGTGTGTACCATCAAGCCTGGCTAATTTTTTTTTTTTGTAGGCTGGTCTGCCATAGTTCTTTGATTTTTGGTAGAGATGGAATATCTCTATGTTGCCCAAGCTGGTCTCAAACTCCTGGTCTCAAGCAATCCTCCTGCCTCAGCCTCCCAAAGTGCCAGGGTTACAGGAATGAGCCACCATGGTTGGTGTAAAAATGAGATTCTTAAGCCCAAAATGCCAGATGCAGTGGCTCACGCCTGTATCCCAGTAATTTGGGAGGCCTTGTGAGGCAGGAGGATGGCTTGAGGTTAGGAGATTAAGACAAGCCTGGGCAACACAGTGAGACCCCATCACTACAAAAATTTTAAATTAAAAAAAAGCCAAGCCCAAGTCACTGTCAAGGCCATGTAATGAGTCACTGGAATGATGAGCCTGAGAACAGGAAACAGAATGTCAGGCTCCATCCAGCAAAGCTTCCAAATCTAATAGGAGACATGATTGCTCATGGCCTGTGTGCTCCCAGTTGCCTCCACATCTCAGGAGGAGTGAATCGAGGGGAGCACAGAGGGTGGATGGGGCCGTGGGTCCCAGAACCAGTGACTAGCTGCAGCGTGCTCACTACCACTGTCCTGCAAGCTTCACAGCACACAGCCGCCCCGCAGTCACACCCAAGGGTGGCTCCAGCACAGAGGGCCATTCCTGCGACCTCTCTGCAGGCGAAGCTTCAGCTGGGAACACGGCTGCTCTGGGTCTGGGAATGTTGTAAGCATAACCATTTTTCAGGGTACAGAGTGACGCCAAAAGCATCTCACAGCCTCAATCCAGGGAAAAGCACATGAATCAAAACGATATCCCCGTTCTAATCTGCTCTATCCTTCTTTCAGAGGGCCTGTGATATCTGCTGATGGAAATGGGTGCTTCCCTAGCAGATGTCTTCCTAAGAAAGGGGAATGTGAACCCTGGTTTACCTATGTGACTTCCTGCTCTTAGATTCGCTCTCTGCTGAAGAGGTCCCATGCTGCCACCTGCTGGAAAAAAATGAAAAACTGCCTTGTGTGCCCAGGCCATGACAAACGCATTCCTGTTGAAGAAAGTTACCCTTTACTACAGATGCTGGGGGACAATGCTAACCCCGTGCTGCCTCACCTGCTGTGCCATCTACTCCAGACAGGGCACCTTACTAAGATCCTCAGCTACCAACCAACCTCAGGTGGAATAAATGGTCCCAGTGGCAGACACCACAGTCACCCCAAGCTCACGAGATGGAAGAGTGAAGAGGCAGGCGAGTCAGGAGGCGGAAGCAGGGATCGGGGAGGAGGTGAAGAAGGCAGGAATTCACCAAGGGGCAGGATGGAGCAAGGAGAAACACACAGGTAAGCTTCGCCAATGGAAAACACTGCCCTTGGGATTTTTTTATACACTTTTAGCCAAACAGCTGGAAGAACCAATGAGAAATATAGAAGCGTATAAGATGAAAAAGTTAAAACAGTCTCATCATGACTTAATAAAATAAGAAAAATCCTACCTGTTCACCAAGTTACAAATATAATAGAATTACCTTCTTATATAACAGGAATAGAAGAAAAATAAGGATAAGAATATCCCCAGACAGGGTGGGCACAGCAGCTCACACCTGTACTCCCAGCACTTTGGGAGGCCAAGGCAGGCAGACCACTTGAGGTCAGGAGTTTGAGACCAGCCTGGCCAATGTGGTGAAACCCCATCTCTACTAAAAACACAAAACAGCCGAGCGTGGTAGCAGGCACCTGTAATCCCAGCGACTCAGGAGACTGAGGAAGGAGAAATGCTTGAACCCAGAAGGCAGAGGCTAGGGTGAGCAGAGATTGCGCCACTGCACTCCAGCAGCGTGGGTGACAGAGAGAAACTCTGCCTCAAAAAAAAGAACATTTGCTTATAGCCATTACTGGAAATATTGGGGGGGGGAAAGAACATGCCCAAACAATTATCCCCGGAGGCGGATTTGTACTTGCTGACTTGAGTTTTTCTACTGATGGCAGGAGGCTTTACCGGGCACCAAGAAAGGCTATACAGCCAGGCTAGAAGCAAAGTTCTGCGACTCCTGCTAAAATCCACTGAAGAGAACCTATCACAAGACACGCCAGAGGGAAAAGAAGGGAACCTAGTGCCTTTGAGAAATAAAATGGGAAAACGAGAGAAGGGCTATTCCCAGAACTAGAAATAAAACAAAAGCTGGTGCAGGTCACGGAAGCCGAGTGGGCCTTGGGAGACCGCTCTCCGGGCACTGACCAAAGCTCCGGGCCTGGGCGAGACTCGCACACAGGCTGCCCAGAAGCAAGAGTGACGTGCGCCTGGACAGCGGGATGCCATACTATCTGTTCCAGGCCCAAACTGGCGAGATCCTCCGGAATACTGTGCCCTAAATAACAACCTAGGGCTGACCCTGGCGTGAAACTCAAAGTCATGTTTAATTCAGCTTAAGGAAATAATGTGTTATTACTTGCATACCAGGTTTATGAAATAAGATTTACAGCCACTACACATTTTCCAGATTTTCGAAATTGAATCCGCAATGGCTTTATAATCAGAAATAAGGTCAGCAACAAAACTTTATTAACAACGAAAACCTGTTTATTATTCATAACCTGCCTTAAAGAATGTTAATATCCACACTGGGCGTATAATACCATGGATGGAGGCAGTTCTGGGCTTTCGGAGAGAGAGCACTGCCCCTTACACCCTTGGGGTCTGAAATTCTCACTGGTGCCATGGCAGCCTGTGGTCATGAACATTATTCAAATAAGCCCAGAACCACACACAACATTTTCTTTTCAGCTTCTCTTCTGACTTAGGAGGCATGACTGGAAAATCAAAGAGATGCAAAGGGGCTATAAAGGGCACAACCGTTTCATATCAGGTAGTTTTCAAGGTTCCTTCTGTCATCAGAGTCTCCCTTTAACACCAACACATCTATTTTGAAAGTGTGTGAAATCAGCAGCCGGAGCTCCTTATACGTGGCCATCTCCTATCCATTATCCCTCCTGTTCTCACAGTGAAGTGCTACCTGGCCCTTCCAAGGCAAGATTTTCTCTTTCTGACTCAGTTCTGAGAAGGTGACAATCACAATCACGAGTGGAAATGAAATGAATCATCTTAATAAGCAGCAGTCACCCCCCAGCCTCCTCCTCATACAACTGGTGCTGCACCTCCTTCTCCAAACCATCCCTGGCTGCTCTCAGGAAGTGGGCCGCAGGCCTCCCCCTAGCTCACCTCCCAGGAAGACAGCATCTTGAGACCACAGGCTGCCCCTACTCCTCCACAGTTCCCCAGCATGGGGGTTCAGAGCAAGCCGAACAACACAAAATGAGCACGAGGGAACTTACCCTTTCCATCTGTTGCTGATGCTTCTTGTAAATGTCTGATTGACCTAAAAATAAACATTTAGAGAGCAAAAAGTTAGCTGACAAATCTGTACTCCTCTCTCTTTCCAGCTGTAGTAACTTGGGGCCGTGAATTCCTCCATTATATGCTGAAAGGTTGGACTAGATCACTTTAGAGCACTCTCCCTAAAACGGAGGATGGTGGATAATCAACACGTCTGAGAGGTAAAGTCGCCCTCTGCTGGCCAAATCTGTGGCAGTAAGTCTAGCAGAAACCAGAGCGTGAGGAGAAAAGCAAACTCCACTCCCACAATCAACCCCCTACCCAACCCTCCCACAATGGAGCCTCACTGAGCCCACCTGCCACAAGGAGAGAATAAACCCAGAGGAAAGTCACCAGCTGACTTCTAGAGTCTAAGTCCAGGAGCTGTGAATATGCAGCTCCATGCAAACTCATTTCATTGAGTGGAGATTTTTAATATTGCTGAAAAATGCCAGCCTGCAGGGGCAGTTTTAGGCTGTGATGTGCTGGTAACTAATGACCATCATTACAGTTCACGCAGGGGAACATTAACATTATTACAGAAGCAGCAGGTGAGAAGTGGAGGTACCATGCAAAGCCACCAATGGAGAGACTGGCCTGAGGGATGAGCAGGGCACAGGCAGACAGGGCTGCGTGAGGGAAGGCAGCACGGGTCTGACGCCGTCACTCACTCTAGTCAGCAAATCGATTACTTTTCCTAAATACTCCGTAATTTGCCCACCCGTGAGAGGGGCTATCTGCTTGAGAACTGAAAGCAACACCACATGCAAGTTACCCAGTACGCTGCTGGCCCTGAACCAATGCTGGCTGAATAGGAATACTTAAAGGCATTATTAATCTTGAATTGCCTCTCCAGTACTTACTTTTCATTTCACAGTAATTTTCAGGATATTTATCTTCAGGAATTTTTTGCATTTGGCTTCTGCTCATTAGTGTTGAAATTAACAGGCCGGGCGCGGTGGCTCACCCTTGTAATCCCAGCACTTTGGGAGGCCGAGGTGGGTGGATCACGAGGTCAAGAGATCGAGACCATCCTGGTCAACATGGTGAAACCCCGTCTCTACTAAAACTACAAAAAATTAGCTGGGCATGGTGGCGTGTGCCTGTAATCCCAGCTACTCAGGAGGCTGAGGCAGGAGAATTGCCTGAACCCAGGAGGCGGAGGTTGCGGTGAGCCGAGTTCGCGCCATTGCACTCCAGCCTGGGTAACAAGAGCGAAACTCCGTCTCAAAAAAAAAAAAAGAAATTAACAAGGGGCAGGAAATGGCTGCTTACAGCTCGACAGCCTGTTGGGATTCCTTATATTTTACTGTTCTGATAGTGGCATGTGTAAAAGTAGGGCATGAACCTCTGTTCCCTAGTAAGATGCTCTTTCTATCTGGAAACAATGCTGGACATCCCATGTTACAGATGCCCGAGTAACTAATTCCTGTGCAGGGCAGCAGGAGACTGCAGTGAATACGAAGAGTCATTCATATTCCAGCAGGTACAGGGGATCCCAGCACTTTGAGAGGCTGAGGTGGGAAGACCATTTGAACCCCGGAGTTTGAGACTAGCCTGGGTAAAATGGCAAAACTCTATGTCTACAAAAAATTAGCTGGGTATGGTAGTGTGAGCTACCCAGGAGGCTGAGGAGGGAGCATCATTCATACTCTCTCTTCTATGCTGGTAGCTGTTGGCTGAACTGATACTGGATCATGTGTGATGTTATGATGGAATTAGTGTGAAGAGTGACTCTAACTGGCTGGAATGAGAAGTACTGTTCACTGATACCACTAACTGACATACCCCAGGATCCTCAAAAATATTAATTTACTGGATGGGGCATTGCAAGAAGAAGCACCTCGGCAGAGCGCAGTGGCTCATGCCTGTAATTCCAGCACTTTGGGAGGCCAAGGCAGGCAGATCACCTGAGGTCAGCAGTTCAAGACCAGCTTGGCCAACATGGCAAAACCCTGTCTCTACTAAAAATACAAAAAAAAATCAGCCAGGAGTGATGGCACGTGCCTGTATAATCCCAGCTACTCAGGAGGCTGAGGCAAGAGAATCACTTGAACTTGGGAGGCAGAAGTTACAGTGAGCCGAGATCACGCCACTGCACTCCGGCCTGGGCAACAAGAGCAAAACTATGTCTTGAGGGGGAGAAAAAAAAAGAAGCACCTCGCTTCAAGTGGAAGAACGCAGGTAAATCTATTTTCTTTAAACTTTATTTCAAAAGAACTGCATTCCAAAAGTCATGGAATTCGATCACTAACGGTGAAGTTAAGTGTTCTACTGCTGCTAACCTCAATTTCTGCCACTCTGCATGTGATTTAAGAAGGATATTCTTTCTTTTTTTTTTTTTTTTTTTTTTTTTGAGATGGAGTTTCACCCATGTTACCCAGGCTGGAGTGCAATGGCGCGATCTCGGCTCACCGCAACCTCCGCCTCCTGGGTTCAGGCAATTCTTCTGCCTCAGCCTCCTGAGTAGCTGGGATTACAGGCACACGCCACCATGCCCAGCTAATTTTTTGCAGTTTTAGTAGAGACAAGGTTTCACCATGTTGACCAGGATGGTCTCGATCTCTTGACCTCGTGATCCACCCGCCTCGGCCTCCCAAAGTGCTGGGATTCCAGGCTTGAGCCACCGCGCCCGGCATGAAGGATATTCTTTCTCATCAACCACTGACTTGACACTAACACTTCTTTACACAGAACCAAAGCACAATCTATGCATCTAAACTCTGCCATTTCCAGGAATAGAGCAAACCATTCTGAAGATATCAAAAATGTTTGTGTGCTAAGAACTATCACTAGTTTTATGTTAATGAACTTCCACATTTTCCACCTAAGTTGGCAGGAACTGGCTGCCTATGGAATTTCCCCAACTCCAAATTCAGGCTGCTACTTTCAATTGCTACCAAGTTCTCATTTGCCAATTCTCTATTGTCTTAGAACTCTGTTAAATGTCAGCTCATGGTGACTGATTAACTCTACCAAAATCCCCTGGGTAACTTGATAAAGACACAGGGTTCTGCTCCTGGAGACTGATTCAGGTCAATCTGGGACTCAGCAAGCTGTACTTTTTTTTTTTTTTTTTTTTTTTTTGAGACCAAGTCTTGCACTGTTGCCCAGGCTGGAGTGCGATCTTGGCTCACTGCAACCTCCGCCTCAGCCTCCAGAGTAGCTGGGATTACAGGCATCTGCCACCACGCCCAGCTGATTTTTTGTTATTTTTAGTGGAGACGGGGTTTCATTACGTTGGCCAAGCTGGTCTTGAACTCTTAACCGCATGATCCACCCACCTAGGCCTCCCAAAGTGCTGGGATTACAGGCGTGAGCCACCGCACCCGGCCGGAAAGCTGTACTTTTAAACACACATCCCATGCGATTGAGATCAATGTGGGAATGGCCAGTTCAGCTGGCAGGCTTCACAGCCAAGCTGTCACGTGGCCTCCCTTCCTGTGGACTACTCACCACACCACTGGGAAGAGGATGGCACCACAACACAGCAGGTCAACCAGAAACAGAGAGTCCTTCCATAAGCCATATTCAGTCGTGCCCTCCTCGGTGGACTCTATGATGATGTAGGCTACGTTTGCCAGGACCTACAGACGTGAGAATTTGCTGAGGCCCCAAAGCCTGGGTGGAGTGTTACAATGCTAGCAGCCCCAGGGTGGGGTATACACCTTGGCCTCTAGACCCCAATCTGCGACCACAGCATTCTTTCCAGTCCCACATGCTCTTCCAGAACTCTGCCATTCTGCTATCGAGTAGGAGAGTCTCTATGCCATCCCTCTGAACCTGAGCAGGCCTGTAATTGCTCTAACACGGCAAGATGGAAGGGATGCTGTGTGATTTCCAAGGTAGATAAAGCTTCCGCCCAGCTCTCTTGGGACCTTTGAACCCTAAGCCTTCTTGTAAGAAGTCTGGCAACCCTGAAACTGCCATGCTGTAGAGACCATGCAGAGATGGAAAGACCCCCCAGGAGCCCCAGATGTCCCAATCCCCACCTGAGCAAGCTTCTCAGCCCAGAAGACAGATGCGAGTGGAGACTTCAAGACGCTCCCAGCAGGGTGTGATAATGACAAGACCCAAGTCAGACCTACCTAGCTAGCCACTCTTAAATTCCTAACCCACAGAAGCTGAGAGCATGAAGGGTTATTGGGTTATTGCTGTTTTAAGTCACTGAGTTTTGGGGTGATTTGTTATGCAGCAATAGATAACAAGGACACTTTGCTTTTTAGACACCCCAAACCTAGTGGAGTTGCTCAGGTGCTGGATAGGTGGCACTTAACACCCTATTTAGCCACAATGCCCACACTTTTCAGGCTCTGGTGCTCAGTGACAATAACTCTTCTAAGCGCCAGACAATGGAACTGCGTTTTCAGAGACCAGAGCAGTGATAATGACTGACTCCAGCCCCACAGCTGAGTGGCCACACTGCTCCTCACGGGATCCTTTAAGTCCAGCTCCCCCAACAGAGGACACAGCCCAGCTCTTCCTCTGAGATTCACCAGTGTCCACGCACTGCTTCTCCTTCCAAAGCTAAGGGCTTTGCCTCATGTACTCAGGCCCATAATTAGGCTCTTAGCATAATAAAAGTATTTATAAAAAGTCTTTCTGGGCCGGGCATGCTGGCTCATGCCTGTAATCCCAGCACTTTGGGAGGCCAAGGTGAAGGATCATGAGGTCAAGAGATGGAGACCATCCTGGCCAACGTGGTGAAACTCCATCTCTACTAAAAATACAAAAATTAGCCGGGCATGGTGTTACGAGTCTATAGTCCCAGCAACTCAGGAGGCTGAGGCAGGAGAATTGCTTGAGGCAGGGAGGCAGAGGGTGCAGTGAGCCTAGATCGCCCTACTGCACTCCAGCCCGGCGACAGAGCCAGACTCTGTCTCCAAAAAAAAAAAAAAAAAGTCTTTCCGCTGGCTAGATGGTGCAGAGCATAAAGGAAATTTACCACTTATAATACATCCTTTTGAAGATTACCACTGGGAAGGGATGCAGAGAATATCACTCCACCTATACACCCCATGAGAAGTCCATGGTCCCCAACACTCTGCCTGACTTGCTGTAAAGGTAACCCTCCACAATTTCGCATGGAATGTAAAATCTGTAGTGCTCTTATTTGGGAAGTCTCTAAGTGTAATTTCTCTTTCTATACAGGACTTAGAAATCAAATTATCACTGAGGCTTCATTTAATACTAATGCAAAAATTATCTGAAATTTCAGTCTCCCACTGCCACCCAGCTTCTGTGTTCCTCCCTGTCCCGAGGTCCTCATGAAGCCCTGTCTATCCAAAACATTTGCATCTACGGCTCTGTCGAAAAAGACAAAGTAGGGCTAGGTGCGGTGGCTCATACCTGTCATCCCAGCACTTTGGGGGGCCAAGGCAGAAGGATCGCTTGAGCCCAGGAGTTCGACACCAGCCTGGGCAAAATAGTGAGACCCTGTCTCTACTAAAAAAAAAAAAAAAAAAATTTAAATTAGTCAGGTGTGATGGTGTGCACCTGTGGTCCCAGTTACTTGGGAGACTGAGGCAGGAGGATCGCCTGAGCCCAGGAGTACAAGGATGCAGTGAACCATGATCACCACTGCACTCCAGCCTGGGCAACAGAGTGTCACAGTCTAAAAATAAAAAGATAAAGTAGAAAACAAAGGCTTTCGCGTCTTAAATTCAAAATTCCATTTTGTCCTTAATTCACACACTACATGAGAGAAAGAATGTTTTCAGAGGTGCCTGTGTTGAATGGCATGCCGAGAGTGTTCCTAAAACACCATGTGCACGGACGCGATTTACTCCCTACCTAGACACTTTTAGTCACTGCCCGTGGCCAAAAGGAAGTCATTCTAACTTTCCAGGCTGACATTCAAGGCCCTCTCAGACTAGTTCCATTGTCTAAATAGTCATAACTTTCTTAATTTGTTAAATGTCCTTATTTTCTCAGAGTGATATTCTGGGGGTGGGTGGGTGTGTTTGTGTGTGTGTGTGTGTCTGTCTGTCCGTCTGTCTGCCTGCCTGCCTGCCTTTCACGGAAGCTCAGGACGGGGAAGCTGGAAGGCTATGGCCCATGATGGCACAGTTCAGGCTGCTGGGGAGAGACTCTAAAGGACGAGGGAATCTGCTAAAGAGAAGGGGCACAGGCAGCCGTGTGGCAACCCAGGCTCCATCATTCACAACTCTGAGACCTCACAGGCGTAGGCCTGTCTGGCTGAAGTGGCCCTGGTGCTTCGACAGCCGGGGACCAGCAGAGTCCCTCAGCACGTGTGCTCAGCAGGCAGCAGGGTTACGTGTATCTTTTTTTTTTTTTTTTTTTTTCTTTTTGAGAGGGGCTTTCTGGCAAAACCCAGAAAGCCTGCTAAACAAATTCAAAAAACAGCTGTAACATGAGAGTCACACCCCTGCCTCTGTCACTCTCCTCTCCTTAAACACCCAGACCAGCCCCATCTCTGTCCCAAAGCCCTCCTTGACCCTTCCACCTTGAGTGCTTAGTCTCTCCCCGGAAACCCAGAGCAACTGGCCTGTCCCATTCATTTGATGTCAACACACGTTCCTCATCATTGAACGTGAGGGTGGACCAGGTCTGTTAGAACTCAGAGAGGAGCTTTGCTGCAAACTCTGCCAGAGTCAGGAGGGCTGATGTGGGAGTTGTCCCCTCCCACCCGCCACCTTCCACATTTACGTCACATTCCAATACGTGAGAAGAGCTGACGGGGACAACGTCATCAAACAAATGCAGTCTGGTCAAACAGAGCAGAACAGTTGTGCATCCCTGCTAAAACCTCTCCGTTTACTGGAAGTTCTTTACATCCAAGTTCAGCCGCCACTAAGACAAGGCTCCGCCCCCGAGAAACTCACGGCCTTATAAGGCTGGCCTTGGCCCTCGGCCCCAAACATGGTAAGGATTTAGGAAACGTTTGCCCCTCAGGTCTACTACATATTCTATCTGTGGAAACTCACTGATGTCATTCACAGTTTTAAAATACTTTGTTCATAAAATCACTACATCTCTGAGCTTCCTCACCAACAGCACCATTTTGTTATGAAGGAAACATAGAAGCAAACATGAAGAAAACAAGAAAAAACAGTACTGTGTGTCTCCTACATTGTCAACAGCTCTCCATGCAAAATCTAGGTGCCCAAAGGCCAGTGGCTGGCTGATGGCCAAGCATCTCCCAGTGCAATGACCTGAAGTCTATTCAGAATTCAGGAAGATAATCCCAGTCTTTAACCTCCACTAGCAGAAGCTGGGGTTTCAGATTAAGCTGATTCCCTCTTCCCTTACAGGCTTAGCGTGGAGCCCTGCTAAGTGCCAAGAGAGGAAGTGACAAACAGGACGAGGGTTCCTTTACCTGGAGTGGGATGACAATCATGAAGATCTTTTTGTCTTTATCGGAAAGGATGTGCTTGATGAAGGCCCAGCCAGTGCCAATGAGAGCAATGGTGATGAAGAGTAGTGCCCCTTTCAAACTGGAAGAGAAAACAAGGAACAGACACCAGCCGGTCTCTTTAGACCCTCACTGCCAGTTAGATTGCACAGCTCATTCTATGAGTTCACAAGCTTCTTACAAAAGACAGACAGCCAAATTCAGGAAATCCATCATACATGAGCCACAAAGTTAGCTCTGCACCCCACAGCCTGAACAGCCAATGGCCACAGAGAGGCAGGAGCATGCCACTAAGCCCGAGTTCTCAAGTTTAGACGGCCACCCATGAGCTCCACTCCTCCCGTATGGCCGGGTCCCAGACAGGCTGCCACAGGAGGGCAGGTTGTTGTCCACCCCCACTTCTCTCGTGTGTCATTTCCTGGTGTATTTCATGTGTGCCTGCATACTTACAGGTGAGTGATGTAGTACACAACAGCCCAGCCTTCAATAGGGAAGCCCTGGGAGGAGATGTAGTGGTAGTCGATCTGAAATCAAACAACTGCAGTTCAGAATCACTCATTAGCTACATGGCTCCAAAAAGAATCTTAGAACTTGGACCCAGAAGGGAAATTATCCAAATAACTGTCATTCTGGGGCACTGTCATTGGATATATGATTGCCTTTTCCAAGGAGGATATTTTCGAGTGCAGCGAAGAGTACACGTCTAGAGACTGTCACCCCTGCAAGTGTAGTCCACAGGTACTTGGAGGCCCACAGATGGGGGAAGTCGTGATCTTACCCCCATGGGCAAGTTCATTTTAATTTGCCTAAGTTCTAAATGCTCAAAGCTGAAGCTCAATTCTCACGCCTCCAGCTTTATTGCACCAATTTTCTCCCAGCTAAATCTGCCAATACTGAATTGAACTTCAAATCACATAGGAACATGAGGGAATATTTAGAAACATAAAAAAGTCGTGGAAACAATTTAGCAGGTGGCACTCTCGTCTCTAGAAATGCTAAGAAATAAATTAATAAATAAAAACAGTAAGTGTTCTAGAAAAATTGTAGGTCTATAAGCAGTATCAGAAGATGCCTGAAGTCTGGTATGAGGGGAGGTGGTAATCATCTACCCGCATGGCCAGGCCCTCCCGGACAAGAGGAGGCTTTATGAGAAATGTATTCGTCGTCTTTATTTCCCAGCAATCTATCCCCTTTCTTCCAATTTCTTTTGCTGCTCAAATAGGCATTACATGTAATTTCATGAATGGTCCCCAAAATGCGAATACATACTGCATGGAACACCAAGGAAAGAGACTTGGTGAAAGGAAGGGCCGCCATCAGCCAGTGGATTTTAAATACATCATTCCTATAAAAACAGAGTGAAAAAAAATGAAATGAAGGTTCCATTCTCCCAAAGCACAGCCAAAGCTCCAGATATCAGCTATATTTACAGGAAGACAGGAAATACAATCTGTGCAAACCAAAAACATGAAACTTTTTCTTTTTTTTTTTTGAGACAGTCTCATTCTATTGCCTAGGCTGGAGTATAGTGGTGACATCACGGCTCACTACAGCCTTGAACTCCTCAGCTGAAGTGATCAAGCAGCTCTCAGGAAGCTGAGGTTGGAGGATGGCTTCAGGTGTACACTGCCATGCCCAACTAATTTTATTTTGTATTTTTTATACAGAATGAGTTTTGCTAAGTTGCCCAGACTGGTTTTGAACTCCTGGCTTCAAGCAATTCACCCACCTTGGCCTCCCAGTGTTGATACTAGAGGCATGAGCCACTCACTACGCCCAGATAAAACTTGTTTCTTTTTTTTGAGATGGAGTCTTGCTCTGTCACCCAGGCTGAAGTACAGTGGCACAAACTTGGCTCAGTGAAAACTCCACCTCCTGGGATCAAGAGATGCCCTTGCCTCAGCCTCCTGAGTATCTGGGATTACAGGCGTGTGCCACAATCTCCAGCTAATTTTTGTATGTTTAGTAGAGACGAGGTTTCACCATGTTGGCCAGGCTGGTCTTGAACGTCTGACCTCAAGTAATCCACCTGCCTCAGCCTCCTAAAGTGCTAGAATTACAGGTGTGAGCCACCACGCGCCGGCCGCTTTTTTAACAAAGTACTTTTTCCTGGTCAAAAAGGTCTTGAATAGAGTCCTAAAGTAATCTCTATAACAATTTAATGTTGTGAATGAACCTGAGAGTTATGCACTGAAGCCACACATGATGGGTTCCAACTCTTGAGTAAATGGAAATCTAACACAGCCTGCCAGCTTGCTCCCAGAAACCACCCTGGGAAAGCCGGAGGCAAGAATGAGGTAGATGGACCTTAGAAAACAGCACAGAACACCCAGGAAAGCCGAAAGTGATTACAAACAGCTGTAGGGGAAGCCTGCAGCCCAGAGTAGCAGGGCTGGGAGCCAGCAGCAGGGATGTGTGAAGGGAAAGTGCTGGGGTCATGATCCTTTCTCTCTCCTTCATGGCTGGTATCTGCAAATACCCCATGCCAGTGAGATAAAGCACCCATTCCCCTGCCCACCCCATAACAGATACTAGTCCACCTTTGGGCTGATGGACATTAAATGCCTCTACTCTTTCCTGCCTCCCCTTAAGAATTAACCTAATAGAACATATAAGACTATTATGAGGCTGGGTGCAGTGGCTCATGCCTGTAATCCCAGTACTTAGGGAGGCTGAGTTGGGAGGATTACTTGAGACCAAGAGTTTGAGATCAGCTTGGACAAGATGGCGAAACTATCTCTACCAAAAATACAGAAAGTTAGCTGGGTATGGTGGTGCGCACCTGTAGTTCCAACTTCTTGGGAGGCTGAGGTGGGATAATCACTCGAGCCCAGGAGGCAGGGACTGCAGTGAGCCGTGACTGTGTCACTGTACTACAGCCTGGGAGACACAGCGAGCCCTTATCTCGAAACAAACAGTCTCAAAACAAAAGCTTAGCCAAGAGTGGTGGTGTGTGCCTATAGTTTCAGCTATTCAGGAGTCTGAGGTGGGAGAATCACTTGAGCTCAGGAGTTTGAGGCTGCAGTAAGCCTTGATCACGCCACCGCTCCAGCCTGGGCAACACAGTGAGACCCTGTCTCAAAAAAAAGCAAAGAATACAGGCAGCCACAAGAAGGGAAACTGATATGGTTAACGAGTCCCTAAAATGACAATCCACATCACTAATATTCAGAGAAATGCAAAATAAAAGAGGCTACCAGTTTACAACCATCACACTAGCAAAAATTAAGACATCAGTATTGGTGAGAATGTGGAGAAACAGCAAACCTTAGGTATGCACCACTGGTAGACGTATAAACCTCTATGCCAGGCTGGAAGGCAATCTGGCCCTTAATGAAATTAACCGATGGCCAGGTGTTGTGGCTTACGCCTGTAATCCCAGCACTTTGGGAGGCCAAGGCAGGAGGATCACTTGAGGCCAGGAGTTCAAGACCAGCCTAGCCAACATGGTTAAACCCCATCTCTACTAAAGTACAAAAATTAGTTGGGTATGGTGCCACTGCACTCAAGCTTAGGTGACAGAGACCCTGTCTCAAAAAAGGAAAGAAATTAACTACGCATGGCACAGTGTGCTTCCTTCCGGAACTGCAGCTCGGAGGCTGTACAGATCCATACGGGGCCTTAGGAGGTTCATGCCAGCATTGGCTGGGGTATCAGGGAGATGTACGTGGCCCAGGCTGTGTCCATCACTGAAGGACCAAAGCAGTCAAATGTGAGGACACAGAGCATGGGATGCTGTGGAGTAGGTAAAAATCAATGAATGAGACGCACACTCAGCCACATGGCTAGATCATAGAAAGGATATTACTGAGTGAAAAATGTACAAGAACAATGTCTACATATTACTGAGTGAAAAATGTACAACAATATTTTATGTAAACTTAAAATACATGCAACACCAATAAACAGTACTTATTTATAAGAATATAGAAAGATCCAAAAATGAGGCTGGGTGTGTGGCACTTTGGGAGGCCGAGGTGGGCAGATCACCTGAGGTCAGGAGTTCGAGACCATCCTGGGCAACATGGTGAAACCCCGTCTCTACTAAAAATACAAAAATTAGCTGGGTATGGTGGTGCATGCCCATAATCCCAGCTACTCGGGAGACTGAGGCAGGAGAACTGTTTGAACCCGGGAGGCGGAGGTTGCAGTGAGCCGAGATTGTACCACTGCACTCCAGCCTGGGTGACAGAGACTCTGTCTCAAAAAAAAAAAAAAAAAAAAAAAAAAAAGAAATATCTAAAAATGCATACAAAACACATTTGAGCAGTTCTCCATGGTTGGGAAGGAGTGGGAGAGGGAACAGGAAATGAAAGGGACCAATAGAGAGGGCCTGGCACCGGGTGATAATGAGAGTGTGCCAAAATGTGATGTCAGTTTCCGGGCTCATTTCTTCCCCGGTACTTTCCTATTCCAGTGCTCACCTCCTTGAAGGTCAAAAAGGAAGTCAAGGCCAGAATCGTCTGTAACTACTGAATGGCAATGAGATTTACCCAGAGTATAAAACCACCCACCGCAAAGAGCTGTGCTCATTCACACACTCTGGTGACCTTGACTTGCAGTCAAGGTTAGAACAGCGACGCTGGGGCAGAGACGTGATGGAAAGAACAAGCCTCACTGACCTTGGCGCAAATACTAGTTCTACCTACACTGGAAGCTGGGAGGGGCCTGATACATACCAGCAAGCAGACCCGGGTTCCAGTCCTAGCTCTGTCGGGTGACAGTGGCTCTCGTTTCCCCTCTCTGGGTCTCTATAAATGAGGCAAAGGTCTCTCCGTTGCCTCCAGCTTTCAGGGGCCTGTGAAATGTGCCTCGTGGCCTTGGTCACATGCCTTTCTATCATGTGGGTTTCCAACCTACCAAACTGACTCTAAGACTCCTGGGAAAACACTGGCAGGGCTTAAGTGAGAGACTTTCCTCCATGCACCCTATACTCCAACAAAAATTAAAGATGAGATTTGTACACAATCGGTCAGCCTCCTTTAACCACAGATTGAAAACTGTTATCACAAGTTGACAGAGTGAGACTCCATCTCAAAAAAAAAAGAAAAGTAAAAAAAGGAAATGGGGTCTTGCTATGTTGCCCAAGATGGTCTCAAACTCATGGACTCAAGTGCTCCTCCTGCCTTGGCTTCCGAAAGCACTGGGATTACAGGCGTAAGCCACCACACACGGCCCACAGGATTCTTTCTTAGTAACTGCTGCTTGATAATCTAGTCCAAATTTGATTACGTAGGTCCTTCCCAAGTAAACAAGAAAACCTTTCCATCTGGTGGGTATACAGGATATCACAACAAGTAGATAACAGCAACTGAACCCACCCAGAGTCTAATATACCAGAGTCTGAGCATGTCCATTAAAACACAATCAAGCTAGCAGGGATTAAAGAAGTCTCCATTTCCACCCCAACGCTCCAGTGAAAGAGGTATTTCAGGGTACTTAATTATTTTATGAATTTAAATCAATCTATATTATAATAGCATATTTGCATACCATCACTTATTCAGTTTATGGGTCTTACAATAGTTTACAAGATTATCTAACTGAATGTTAACATTTTGTTTTCAATTTTCTTGGAGGGAGAAGGAATTCCCACATATGCAGCTGCTCCCCTCAAGAATCAAGTACAGGAAGTTAAAGCCTCAGGGGTTTCAGGAAAAGACTAAAAGCCAGGCAGATGGGCTTTGAAGAGGGTTTGTCCAGTGACAAGCATCTGGAAGTCAATGCAGAGAATCTATCCCAGCACAGCTTTGAGCCAAGGCCTTCAGTGCTCTCGCCAGGCAGTCATCATCACTAACTTCCTCTCCAGAATAAACAGCCCCTGTGTGTTTACTCCTAGTCCTGGACTGTGGGATCTCCACTATGGAAACACTTATACAGTCTATTTTGCTTGCATATTATAAAAAATATTTAGATGTGCTTTTTAAACAAACAACGGGAAGTGAACAGACACCAAGACATGCAAAGGCCTCCCACACCATAAAGCTCCCGCACAGTCTTCCTAGTGTTTCCGGGAAGACGCCCTTCGAAAGGAACAAGACTGCTTAGTGCCAACTGCCTCCAAGTTCAGAAGCCCGTAAAAGCTGAAATTATCCCAATCCCAACTCACTCTTAAGTTGAAGGGCTCAAGGAAGTAATAGTTTACCGTCGTTTTCGAAGGATATGAATCCAGATGGTCCCCGAAAGAAAGAAAAAAAAGGCCATTGAGATGTATAATTTGGGGAGAGGAATTTCTCCTGCTGAGAGGTAGCTGTCCGGATTCTTCTCTGTGATGTCAATCTGAAATGAGCATGAAATTCATTTTTACTTTTCAGGAACGTATCATCCTTTATTCAGCAATTTGGAATCTCAGCTATCTCACTTAGGCTTAGAGAGTGAGTACCAGCGGCTGGGCGTGGTAGCTCATGCCTGTAATCCCAGCACTTTGGGAGGCTAAAGCGGGTGGATCATCTGAGGTCAGGAGTTCCATACCAGCCTGGCCAACATGATGAAACCCCGTCTCTACTAAAAATACAAAAAAAAATTAGCCAGGCATTGTGGCAGGTACCTGTAATCCCAGCTACTCGGGAGGCTGAGGCAGAATTGCTTCAACCTGGGAAGCAGAGGTTGCAGTGAGCTGAGATCATGCCACTGCACTCCAGCCTGGACAAGAGTGAAACTCAGTCTTGGGGGGAAAAAAGTGAATACCAGCAAATAACAACCACATTCCTTTTTTTCTTTTTTTTTTCCTAATTTAAGACAGCGTCTCACCCTTTTGCCTAGGCTGGAGTATAGTGGTGCATCTCGGTTCACTGCAACCTCTGCCTCCTGGGCTCAAGAAATCCTCCCACTTCAGCCTCCTGAGTAGCTGGGACTACTGGTGCACACCACTATGCCTGGCTAATTTTTCATATTTTTTATAGAGGGGGGTTTTGCCACGTTGCCCATGCTGGTCTCAAACTCTTGGATTCAGGTGATCTGCCCACCTCAGCCTCCCAAAGTGCTGGGGTTACAGGAGTGAGTCACTGCAAATGGCCTTCTGTTTGTTTGTTTTTTAACCCAAGTCACCCACTTGAAACCACCACATTCTTTTTTTTTTTTTTTTTTTTTAAGATGGAGTTTTACTCTTCTCCCCCAGGCTGGAGTGCTATGGCACGATCTCGGCTCACTGCAACCTCCACCTCCCAGGTTCAAGTGATTCTCCTGCCTCAGCCTCCCGCACCCGGCCAAAACCACCACATTCATCTTAATGTACAGGTTCAAGTGCAGACACATCCTAAATTGCTTTGCATTTTCTCATGACTCCTCTGCTGAAGTATCGCCCGGTGGCAGGGATGTATCCTGCCCAGTGGCAGGTCTGAAATGTTCTTAAAACCTAACCTTACACAGAAGTAAATCTTGCATTTTATGCTGACAAAATCCACGTAGAACAATCTCCAGACAGTACTCACATCAAGGCTGAATGAAAACTTGTCACTCGGCAATTCATTTCTGAGACATTTATGAAAATAAAGGCTGTAAAGGCCTTCTTGGTCATCAGTGCTGATGTTAAAGAAAAACTGAAAGTGAAGAAGAAAACATTTAAAGGTACCCAAACCCTCAGCTATATATATATATGTATATTTTTTCTTTCATTTTTAAACTGTTGTTTACTTTTTTCTTTAAATTCTACTCAGCTGTATTTTTAAACCTTATAAATAAATTACGAATATTAATGGACTGAAGGAAATACAGACAGACTGCTTAAATTATTGACTCTCTCATGGCAGAGCTTAAACTGATGTTTTGTTATCCTATGACTCCCCTCTGATATTTTATTACAATTTTCAAGTATACAGAACAGCTGCCAATTGCACAGTGAAAGCTACATAGCTACAACCTCGCTTCTACAATGAACATTTTTCTATGCCTGCTGTATCACAGATCTATCCATTTGTGATAGAAGTCTGTGCAGAAGTCTTCAAAGACAACCTAAGACGTATTTATCTAGTCTTCAAGCTAACGTATTATTTTGCTCTTTATAGGCATAAAATACTCCTTAAAAAAGAGGCTCACCTCATACTTGAAAACAACCAATATTTCATCAACATTTACAACTATGGTTTTAGAGAACAACGAAAGCTATATTTTCTATATTTAGACAGTTTTCTGTTTTTCATATATTTCATGAGTTTTAGATAAAGTTTAATGTAAACCAAAAGACAGACAGACTCAGAGAATATGACTTCTTGGTCAAGCCCAAGAAAATTTTACTTCAGCCATAAGTTCTACCAATAAAAAGAAATCTGCCTGAAATATCTTTTTAGGGCTACATATACATACCTATTAAACTACAAAGAAAAGCTAGGAAATGACTACAGTAGGATTTTTCATGATGGGGTTACTCTAGAGTTGGGAAGGAATGCGAGGGAGACACGAGGTTTTTCAGGTGCTCACATAAAGGTGACTGTTCAGAGTAACTTGGTAAACTAAATGTAAGTACTTTACAGTCTTCTGCATGTATACTGTATCTCACAACTTAGAAGAATGGGAGGAAAAAAGACATCTGGCAAAAATAAAAGACCAAGAACAGGTGAGCTGGAATTATCCCAACAGTTAGACCATGTCCCAAACTCAGCTGTGGTTGTGAATGTGTATGTGTATTTTAGTCCCCTGAGCTAGCCAGAATAAGGAAACTTTCCTAAATACATTGACAACTTCTATTCTAAAAGCAAGATTCAGGGGAAGTCTAAAAAAGATATATAAGTTTAAAAGATACAATATTTTTAAAAAATCAATAGAATCACCATGGTTGATCAGAGGAGGCACCTGATCCTTAGAGACAAAAACGAAGAAAACTGTGAACTCTAAGAGTTGGAATAAGGCCTGACAGTCCCCTTGCTGCATTTAGGTAGATAAACCACTATCCCCATGCCATGAATGAAGCAGAAGAGCTCAGAATGGACTGCACTGGCCAAGACCGGGAGACTGGGTAGAACAGCGAGAAATCACGACGACTTCTTTCCAAGGTGGGGGAAAGCCAGAGAAAAGCAAACCACCCATCCATGGCCTGCTCCTCGCATCCCAAGAACCGTGCGGATGGGCTGTCTTGGCATGTGTTCCTCATCACCACGCAGACTGCTGTGCCTGGATGCTCACCCAACACAAAGGACTAGCCTGACATGTGTGCATCCTATCACACTTTCCTTTGTGATTAAAGGGGGGAGCATTTTTTTTTTTTTTGAGACGGAGTTTCGCTCTTGTTACCCAGGCTGGAGTGCAATGGCGCGATCTCGGCTCACCGCAACCTCCGCCTCCTGGGTTCAGGCAATTCTCCTGCCTCAGCCTCCTGAGTAGCTGGGATTACAGGCACGCACCACCATGCCCAGCTAATTTTTTTTTGTAGCTTTTTTTTAGTAGAGACGGGGTTTCACCATGTTGACCAGGATGGTCTCGATCTCTTGACCTTGTGATCCACCCGCCTCGGCCTCCCAAAGTGCTGGGATTACAGGCTTGAGCCACCGCGCCCGGCCTAAAGGGGGGAGCATTTTAAAAACTCATTTTATTAACAAGCATTTTAAGGTGAGAGAAGGACGAGAGAAAAGGACCTTTTGTATTTTCTCAAGGAGGCAGTAAAAGGTAAAGTGGTTAAACACATGGGCCTTGGAGTCAAACAAATGTGGACCTGAATCCCCCGCATGGGGCAAGTTACATTACCTCTCTGAGCCTCAGTTCCTCATCAGTAAAAGAGAAAAAGTAACAGTACCGACTTCACAGAGTTGTTGAAAGGGTGATCTGAGATAATGACATATAAGTACTTAGCACAATGCCTAGCATTGGTTCATCAGTCTCTGTAAATATAGGCCAAGATAGGAGTTTCAGACACAACAATGAGAGAAAACCCCACCCCTAAGGTACTTTCTGTAGAGGGGGAGACAGACAATAAATGTAAGTCAGTACAGCAAATGGCATGTTGGAAGGGATAACGCTAAGGAAAACCAGAGCACAATGAGGGAAACAGGAGTGAGCTGCAATCAAGAGAAGCTTTGTTGAGAAGGTGACATTTCAGCAAAGACTTGTGGAATTCTGAGAGACAGCATTCCTGCCTGTAGGAACAGCTAGAGCAGAGCCTAAAGGTTGATCTGTCTGAGAAAGAGCAAAGCGGCCTGTGTGGGACAGCAGAGTGTGAATAACAGGAGCTGAGGTCAGACAGACAACAGGGGCTGGACCACATGGGCCTTGCAGACCAGTGGGAAGACTTGGGCTTTGCTCCAAGACAGATGGAAGGCTGTTGGAGGGTTCTGAGCAAATGAGCACTCTGCATGTTCTCAGTAACTGTTAGCTTTTAACATGGATAGTGATGAAATGATGGTTACTAAGCTTAAAGAACATACAAAAATTGTTGAAGAGGCAAAATGATCTACGGTAAAAGAAATCAGAATAGTGTTTGTGGGGACGGAGGGGCTTTCTCAGTAGTTGGAAACAGAAATCTTGATAGAGAGTGAATTACATGGGTACATGCATTTGTCAGAATTGAACAAACTGTACACTTAAGACAAGACCTGTGCATTTCACTGCAGGCATTTTTTTTTCTTTATTTTTGAGACAGGGTCTCACTGTCACCCAAGCTGCAGTGCAGTGGCATGTTCAGGGTTCACTGTGTGAATCTTGACTTCCCAGGCTCAAGTAATCCTCCTGCCTCAGCCTCCCTAGTGGCTGGGACTACAGGCATGCAGCACCACACCTGGCTAATTTTTTTTTCTTTTTTTGTAGAGACAAAGTTCCACCATATTTTCCAAGCTAGTCTTGAACTCCTGAGCTCAAGTGAACCTCCCTCCTCAGCCTTCCTTGTAGCTGGGACTATAAGCATGTACCACCATTCCTGGCTCCTTTTTGTATTTTTTGTAGAGACAGAGTTTCACCATGTTGCCCAGGCTGGTCTCAAACACCTACCTCAGCCTCCCAAAGTGCTAGGATTATAGGCGTGAGACACCATGCCCTGTCATTTTTCAGATGATTAAACAGAGAGGTTCAGAAAGTGAGACTAGGCAGGGTGGCTCCCATCTGTCATCCCAGCATCTTGACTGAGGCCCAGTCAAGAGGACTGCTTGATCCCAGGAGTTCGAGACCAGCCTGGGCAACAGAGCAAGTCCTCATCTCTACAAAAATTTAAAAATTAGCCAGGCATGCTGGTCTACGCCTGTAGTCTCAGCTACTTGGGAGGCTGAGGATCACCTGAGCCTGGAAGGTTGAGACTGCAGTGAGCCATAATTGTATCACTGCACTCCAGCCTGGGCAACAGAGTGAGACCTTGTCTCAAAACGAAAACCAAAAGAAATCAGGTGAGTTATCCAACATCACCCAGCTAGTGTGTTCGGAGACCCAGTCCAGTATCTTGTTCCCATACATATGCTATTATGCTGCCACTGAACACTCATGGGCAATTAATAACTGTGACAGCTGAGCAGGTCACTCAAAGCCTCCAAGTCTCAGTGAAATCATCTCTAAAATTACAACATCACCCGAAATTATAACCAACGGTCCTTTCAGGCATGGAGCACTATGCTTCTGGCACACTTTGAATGGGAGGTGGCACTGGGTCAGGACATAGGGGTCACAGGAACAGCCAGGCAGGACTGGGCTGGAAACTGACCTTGTCACCTACACTACATAGTCACAAAGTTATTTATTCTCAAGACTTATTATTTGATAAGTAGACAGGTAACCATATCCACCTTTGTGAGCTTGTTATAGACAGAGCTATTGCATTTAAGTGACTGATACAGGGTATACCTAAGTTGTTATTCCTAAATTCAAAATTCCTCTAAAAAAAAATTACCCTTTTATATGGTAGAGAGAAATTCCATGAGGCTTTACACAAAGAACATACATACCTGAAATGACACTGCCCCATCATTATTATGAACAGAAAAGGATTTCTCTCCCATGGCCTAAAAAGACATAACAATATGTTTTAGGATGACACTGGCATAGAAAGTATGCTAATTAAAACTAATTTATTAAATGAAACAAAACACGTTTCTTAAACTCTGAATTTGCTGACCTTCAAGAGCTCTCTGAAAATAAAACTGACTATACTTTCAAGATGTCTGAAATCTGCTTTCACAGAAAATGGTGGTTGTTCTTCAGCTGTCTCTTCTGCCTCTGCACTAACCCCTACCTCCACTCCCTGCCTTGAATCTTTCTGCTAGACAGCCTGTCTACCCTTGAAGCTTCAGCCAGACTAAGGGTGCTGACCCAGGCCATGCCCTGTCACATCCCCTGAATTCCACTCCTGACATCAAATGATCAAAATATTGGCCAGGTGCAGTGGCTCACACCTGTAATCCCAACACAATGGGAGGCCGAGGTGGGCAGTCACTTGAGGTCAGGAGTTCGAGACCAGCCTGGCCAACCAAGTGAAACAACATCTCTACTAAAAATACAAAAATAGCCAGGAGTGGTGGAGTGCACCTGTAATCCCAGGTACTCAGGAGGCTGAGGCAGTAGAATTGCTTGAACCTGGGAGGCAGAGGTTGAGATCGTGCCACTGCACTCCACCCTGGGTGACAGAGTGAGACGCCATTCCCTCCAGCAAAAAGAAAAATCATCAAAATATGTCATCTGTACAATAAAACTAAGCAATGAAAAAAAATGATACATGCAACAATGTGGATAAACTCAAAGTAATTATGCTGAATACAAGACAAAAAAGTACTGCATAATTCAGTTGTGTAAAGTTCAATAAAACTATACTATAGTGACAGATCAGTGACTGTTTGGGGATGGGGGCTTACGAAAAGGCAGAAGAAATTTTGGGGGTGATGGATAGTTCATTCTCTTGATTGATAGTCAAAGTTATCAAATTGCTGCTCTACCTATGTGCAGTTTGTCAATTATACTTTAAGAAAGCTGTAAGACAAACATCACCATTCAGATGTCCCCTTCACTGAGAAATCAAGACATCGCAAACCCAAACTTTCCCAATTTTTCCACATCTGCTATTTCTACCACCCACTCCTCTGCTCTTCTCTCTCTCTCCCATCACCCTCACTGGCTTCCCAGTCATTTACCGTCCAGGGCTCTGCTCTAGTCCAGATCCTCATCACCCTAAACCTGTGTTATCACAACAGCGCCCTTCCTGGTCCTTCTAACATCACTATCTTCTTCTCCAAGAATACCTTGCACATTACTTTCAGAATCATCCTCTTTAATAAACAGTCTTTCCCAATGAGGAACTCAGGATGACTTCCCATTGCCTGTGCATCTACTCCCTCTATTGCCTGGTCCTACATTATCTAAGATGTGTCTCTGCTCCCATATACGTGCCTTTCACTTCACACAAGCCAGTGCCCAGCATCTGTCTCATCCAGTCTTTGCGTATGGCATTCTTCCTCCCCTTCCTTCTCTTCTCCCTCGCTGAACGAACTGCAAACTAAGCCCCAGCGACAGCTTCTTCCAGAGGGCTTTTCTGATGGCCTGGCATCTTCCTTCCCTAACTACCTGACCCAATATCATGTAAGTGTCATACAACTTACAAATCAATTATCAACTTTGTCGTACTTTTTTTTTTTTTTCTGGAGACAGGGTCTCACTCTGTTACCCAGGCTAAAGGGAAGTGGCACAATCATGGCTCACTTGTAGCCTTAGCCTCCCAGGCTCAGGTGATCCTTCCACCTCAGTCTCCAGAGTAGCTGGTACCATAGGCACGTATCACCATACCCGCTAATTTTCCTACTTTTTGTAAAGAGGGGGTTTCACCATGTCGCCCAGGCTGGTCTTGAACTCCTGGGCTCAACCAATCCACCCATGTCAGCCTCTTAAAGCACTGGGATTACAGGTGTGAGCCACCATGCCCAGCAGGGAATCAATTTTTCTCTGAAATTGTTTCAGTATGTCAATGTTCTCCCCCAAAATAGGAGAAAATTCCCTGTAGATAAATTTTTTAAACTTCTCTTTGAGACAAAGTTGTCTTGCTCTGTCACTCAGGCTAGAGTGCAGTGGCGCAATCTCTGAAGATTGCTCACTGAAGCCTCTGCCTCCCAGGTTCAAACAATTCTCCTGCCTCAGCCTCTAGAGTAGCTGGGATTACAGGCATGCACCACCATGTCCAGCTAATTTTTATATTTTTAATAGAGACAGGGTTTCACCATGTTGGCCAGGCTGGTCTTGAACTCCTGACCTCCAGTGGTCCCCCTGCCTCAGCCTTCCAAAGTGCTGGGATTACAGGCATGAACCACTGCACCTGGCCCCCTGCAGATATGTGTGTGTGTGTATATATATATATATGGTTACCTCTCTGTATTGCAGGTTCCACATCTGCAGATTAAACAAACTGCCAACAAAAATTATTTTTTTAAAAAAGATTAAAAAGTAACAGTAATAAATAATACAAATAAAAAAATCAGCCAGGCATGGTGGCTCATACTTATAATCCCAGTATTTTGGGAGGCCGAGGTGGGCAGATCACCTGAGGTCAGGAGTTCAAGACCAGCCTCGCCAACGTGGTGAAACCCCGCTCTACTAAAAATACAAAAAAATTAGCTAGGCGTGGTGATGCATGCCTATAGTCCTAGCTACTCAGGAGGCTGAGGCAGGAAAATCGCTTGAACTTAGAAGGCAGGGGTTGCAGTGAGCTGAGACCACGTCATTGCACTCCAGCCTAGATGACAGAGAGACTCTGTCTCAAAAAAACAAAAAACCTCAACACAGTGTAACAACTATTTACGGCTGGGCGCGGTGGCTCAAGCCTGTAATCCCAGCACTGTGGGAGGCCGAGGCGGGTGGATCACGAGGTCAAGAGATCGAGACCATCCTGGTCAACATGGTGAAACCCCGTCTCTACTAAAATTACAAAAAATTAGCTGGGCATGGTGGCACATGCCTGTAATCCCAGCGACTCACGAGGCTGAGGCAGGAGAATTGCCTGAACCCGGGAGGCGGAGGTTGCGGTGAGCCGAGATTGCGCCATTGCACTCCAGCCTGGGTAACAAGAGCGAAACTCCGTCTCAAAAAAACAAACAAACAAAAAAAAAAAAAACAACAACTATTTACACAGCATTTACATTGTGTTAGGTATCATAAGTAATCCAGAGATGTTTTAAAGTACACAGGAGGATGTGTGTTTGTGTAAATACTATGCCATTTTCTGTAAGAGACATGAGCATGTACTGATTTTGATATTCACTAGGGTCCCTGTGGATACCGAGGGACAACTGTATATGTATTTGTGTGTGAATGCATGTATGGATATACATCAATACACACACACGTATACAACACACACGTACATAATATCCAGGAAAGCTGAGCACAAAAGGGTGATTAGTTCTTACCTTTGAATCCACTGTACTTCTTTTAGACTTTCCACTGTCTAGAAGCAGAAACATTTAAAAGATAGCACTGCATTACTCCACTTACAGAGACGCATATACATAACTATCATTTTATGTGGCTGCAGCTTATCTAATATCAAATAATTAAAACAAAATAATCTTGGGGACTGCCATTTTCTCAGGTCCCAAAACATAATATGTGTATTGTTGAAGCAGCAAATCAGACCTTGTTATATTATAAATGGTATGGAGTAACTGGTGATATTAACAACAGAATTCAGTTCGGGATATTCTAGTGTATGTTACTGCCAGAGAAGCCACATGGAATGACTTTCCTAATTGTCTAAGTAATCACATTGGAAAACATAATTTTTAAGAAAAAGGCCGGATGCAGTGGCTCACCCCTGTAATCCCAGCACTTTGGGAGGCCGAGACAGGTGGATCACCTGAGGTCAGGAGTTCGAGACCAGCCTGGCCAACACAGCAAACCCCCGTCTCTACTAAAAATACAAAAATTAGTCGGGCGTGGTGGCGTGCACCTGTAATCTCAGCTACGTGGGAGGCTGACACAGGAGAATCCCTTGAACCCAGAAGGCAGAGGTTGCAGTGAGCCAAGACTGCGCTACTGCATTCCAGCCCAGGTGACAGAAAAAAAGAAAAAAAAGAAAAGCTATGAAAGACATTCACACACTTGGAAAAGTTAATAGCAAGTAATCCTAGCATAATAACACTTTCTTCCCTACAGCAAGAAGTATGATTGCTAATGGCTCCTTTCATGGAACAGAAATTCTTGTTTTCACTTAAGATGTTCTTTGTGGAAAGACTGGTCTTCAAGCTCCCTGCAGGAAGGGAGAAAATAAAAAGAAACAAAATAATATTTTCTTCCCAGGAGTGGTGATATGAACACAAAGAACCTAGACAAGAAGGAGATGGTTCACAGGCATTAACCTACACCATCGCACAAACGCAGTCTTTTTTTTTTTTTTTTTTTTTTTTTCTTTTGAGATGGAGTCTCACTCTGTCACCAGGCTGGAGTGCAGTGGTATGATCTCGGCTCACTGCAACCTCTGCCTCCTGGGTTCAAGTGATTCTCCTGCCTCAGGTTCCCGAGTAGCTGGGACTACAGGTGTACACCACCACGTCCAGCTAATTTTTCTGTATTTTGGTAGAGACAGGGTTTCACCATGTTGGGCAGGATGGTCTCTATCTCTTCACCTCACGATCCACCCGACTCGGCCTCCCAAATGCTGGGATTACAGGCATGCGCCACCACACCCAGCCAAATGGAGTCTTTCTGTATGGCTTTTAACCGTGGTCAAGTTGGACAGACTGAGTGATACACAGTTTGGATGTCTGTCCCCTCCAGATCTCATGTTGAACTGTAATCCTCAATGTTGGAAGTGAGGCCTAGCATGAAGTATCTGGGTCATGAGGGCATATCCCTCATGAATGGCTTGGTGCCCTCCTTGTGGTAAGAAGTGAGTTCTTTTTTTTTTTTTTTTTTTTTTTTTTCTGAGACGGAGTTTCACTCTTGTTACCCAGGCTGGAGTGCAATGGCGCGATCTCGGCTCACTGCAACCTCCGCCTCCTGGGTTCAGGCAATTCTCCTGCCTCAGCCTCCTGAGTCGCTGGGATTACAGGCACGCGCCACCATGCCCAGCTAATTTTTTGTATTTTTAGTAGAGACGGGGTTTCATCATGTTGACCAGGATGGTCTCGATCTCTTGACCTCATGATCCACCCGCCTCGGCCTCCCACAGTGCTGGGATTACAGGCTTGAGCCACCGCGCCTGGCCTAGGAGTGAGTTCTTGCTCTGAGTTCATGTAAGATGTGGTTGTTTAAGAGTGTGGCACCTCCCCACTCCTACTCCTGCTCTTGCCATGTGATCTGCCTGCTCCCCCTTCACCTTCTGCCATAATTAGAAGCTTCCTGAGGCCCTCACCGGAAGTAGATGTTTGCACCATGCTTTGTACAGCCTGTAGAACTGTGAGCCAATTAAACCTCTTCTTTTGTTTTTGTTTGTTTGTTTTTTGCTGGTGGTGGTGGTTGTTTTTGAGACTGGCTCTTACTGTGTCACCCAGGCTGGAGTACAGTGGTACAATCTCAGCTCACTGCAGCCTCCACCTCCCTGGGTTGAAGACATTCTCCTGCCTCAGTCTCCCCAGTAGTTCGGACTACAGGTACGTGCCACCACATCTGGCTTTTGTATTTACAGTATAGACGGGTTATACCATGTTGGCCAGGTTGGTCTTGAACTCTTGACCTCAAGTAATCTGCCTGCCTTAGCCTGCCAAAGTGCTGGGATTACAGACATGAGCCACCAAGCCCAGCCTCTTTTCTTTATAAATGACCCAGTCTCAGGTATTCCTTTACAGCAATGCAATGGACTAACAAATTGAGAAAAAAATTGTCTAAGTAGTAAGAATGTATGTATTTATTACAGAGACAGGGTCTTGTTCTGTCACACAGCCTGCAGTGCATCATGGCTCAACGTAGCCTAGAACAGTCACGCTTGAGCCATCCTCCTGCCTCAGTCTCCTGAGGAGTTGTGACTATAGACACATGCCACCACTCATGGCTAATTTTTTTATTTTTATTTTTGCAGAGACAAGGCCTCACTATGTTGCTCAGCCTGGTACCAAGCTCCTAGCCTCAAACGATCCTCCCACTTTGGCCTCCCAAAGTGCTAGGATTACAAGTGTGAGTCACTGCACCTGGCCATAAATTATCTTACGAACTCACATGAATCATCAGATGAACTTGACAGTTAATAAAAAAAAAAAGTGATAAAAATAAATTGGTTAATCAACACATGGAGAAAAAGTGCAGCGTCGATAATAAGAGAAAATAAAAAAACAGTGGCCAGGCACAGTGACTAGCGCCTATAATCCCGGCATTTTGGGAGGCTGAGGCGGGTGGATCACGAGGTCAGGCGTTCAAGACCAGCCTGACCAATATGGTGAAATCTCGTCTCTACTGAAAATACGAAAATTAGCCAGGCATGGTGGCTCATGCCTGTAGTGCCAGCTACTAGGGAGGCTGAGGCAGGAGAATCGCTTGAACCCCAGAGGCGGAGGTTGAAGTGAGCCAAGATTGAGCTACTGCACTCCAGCCTGGGTGACAGAATGAGACTCCACTTCAAAAAAAAAAAGAAAAGTGTACATGTGTGTATATATATACATACACTCATGCGCGCACACACACACACACATACATATAGGAATATCTTTTTTGCCTGTCATTTTAGGATTTTTTTTTTTTAAAAGAAAATACCCCATATTGACTAGGATATAATAATGTGCACACTATTCCTACATATATCCAGTAGGAATATAAATCCACACAACTCACTTGGAAAGGAATTTAAAAATATACATATCAATATTTTCGAAAGCATTCATATCCTTTGAACCAGAAATTCCAATTCTGAAAACCATCATAAAGAACGTTCTATACATGAAAAGAGTTCTATTCATAAAGAAGTCCACTACAACAACATTCATAATCACACAAAAATGGAAATGTGTCTCCTTAAGAGGAAAGATTGAGCAAATTACAGTATCCACTTAGCAGGATAGATGATAGGTATGAAATAGCTAAAAAGTCATCAGGCATGCATATAAATTGTAAGCATGACTGAATTTCAAAAATCAAATCTTCTAGACTTATGAAACAAGCTTATATGAAAACATAAATTACTAAAACTCTTAACACTGGGAATAAGGAAAAATGACTGCTGTTTTTCCATCTGCTTCACATTTTCCACATTTTTCTTTAACGTTTATATATTTTTGTATGACTTCCAAAATATAATGCTAGGACAACAGATCATGTTTTGCTTAGGAACAAAAAAAGCTTCTATGAAGCAGGTAGTGAAAATTAAAAGCCAGTTTCCACCTTACGGTTTACCTTGTGTCTTCTGGGTCTGGCTGCCTGCTGAAACAGGGTTCACATTAGGCTCCTGGCTCTGACCAAGGACCTTCTCATCCCTGCTGAAGATGATTTTTGGTAACTGCGTACCAGCTTCTGGTGGAGACTTTATTGTTACCCTACATTCAAACGAGAACGAGACAGAAGGAAAAAGGGTCAAAGCAGTGCTCCTGGCCACTGTACATGCTGGATGCAGGCCCTCTGCCAAGCTCATGCAGTCCTTATGATGTTCTACAACACAGATTCTATCATCCACATTCTGCAGTACTGAAACCGAGGCTCAGAAAAGTTAAATAACTTGGCCAAGAGCACCTATAGGAAGTAGCTGGGCGAGGATCCAGGTAGTCTCTCTTAGGCCTAAGATCTTAGCAACCACATAAATCTGAGGTACACCTTTTCCCTCAAGTATCCTTAAAATGCTCAGCAAATTGGTGCACGAGAGAAACAGAACGAAACATAAGACACCAGTAAGACCTTAAAGTGAAATCCAGGCCGGGCACTGTGGCTCACACCTGTAATCCCAGCACTTTGGGAGGCTAAGGCGGGTGGACCACTGGAGGTCAGGAGTTTGAGATCAACCTGGTCAACATGGTGAAACCCTGTTTCTATTAAAATTACAAAAAAATTGTTCGGGCATGTTAGCATGTGCCTATAGTTCCAGCTACTCGGGAGCCTAAGGCAGGAGAATCGCTTGAACACGGGAGGTGAAGTTGCAGTAAGCCAAGACCACACCACTGTACTCCAGCCTGGGCCACAGAGCAAGAGAGACTCTGTCTCAAAAAATAAAAATAAAAATAAAAATAAATAAAGTGAAATCCCAGGAAGCAAGAGAGGGCAGTGGCACCGTTAGTTGCTGCCTAATATCCATTTCCACCCTTCCGGCTTCTCATGAGACCCGATTTTGTTTACTCCACTCCACCCAACCCCAGAAGGGCCAGTGACAGTTCCCATGCCTGAGTGGATGCCCAATCTAAGCTGGCACATTCAAGCACTTCTCATTCTAACTACGAGAGGAGCCTGCTCTCAGTCCCTTGGCTGGATATGGATGACAGAACAGAGCCACCTGGTGATGGCTGGGAAACCTGCCTGAGGAAGAAGCTAACACCCAGGATGGCAGAGCAGAGAGATGAAACGCACCAGAGTCCTTAACCAGAGTCAGCAAGCCACTGCAGCCTGTCTCTCGCCTGCCCCACTGAAGACAGGTGAGGTTATCAATGTCTTCAATACATATGCCAGAGTCTAAGTCAAGTCTTTTGTTGCTTGCTGCCAAAAGCAGCCTAACTAATACGGGAAACTACCAGATCAATTTTTTTAAATGAAAACAGAGGTTATCATGGAGAATATTTTAAAAGTTCAGGGCCAACACTTATCTGCAGCCTTTCCTTCCTTTCTACAATTCATGAGTTCTTCTTCCCTTCTGCTCCTTTATTTGGCTGTAATTGTGTGTAGTGCCATTCTGTCTCCCCCATCAAGGACAGGACCTCTGTCTCCCTAGCCTTGTCTTTAATCTCCAGCACTCAGCATGGTTTTTGGCACCTGGCAGACACCCAAGGAATGTTAGCGTACTACTACATTCTCCCCAACTCTACTGTGGAACTGAACTGAAGGAACTTTGGAATTACTTACTCACTTCTGGAGATGTCTAGGATTAGAAGGGTGACAGAGACAGACTCTTTCTTTAAAATACAGTAATTTACATCTTCATCCTGAGAAAGGAAGAGCCAATTTTACATCATCTTATTCATTCACGCTAGAACAAGAACAAAGTTTTCAGGAACATAGCAAATGAGTGGCTCAAACTCCATAAAAAAGGGGATGCGGCCGGGCACGATGCCTCACGCCTGCAATCCTAGCACTTTGGTAAGCCGAGGTGGGCTGATCACTTGAGTCCAGGAGTTTGAGACATAGCCAAGAAAGTGTGAAACCCTGTCTCTACTGAAAATATAAAAATTAGGCAGGTGTGGTGGCGCATGCCTGTAGTCCTAGGTACTCAGGGGACTGAGGCGGGAGGATCGCTTGGGTGAGAGGTCAAGGTTGCAGTAAGGTGATCGTGCTACTGTACTTCAAAAAACCAAAAATGGCACTACAGAAAGTTCGGGTGTTCCCATTCAATGGCCTGAGTTCAAATAAAGACCCAGACCAGGTCACACGTTTAATACTCACCAGGTAAGACGAAAAGCCATCATTCTTTGTACGGTCTAGGCTAAATCCAATCTAATAGGGAGTAAAAAGAGAAGAAGTAAATATCCACGCAATTGTCCATACTTTTCTTACTCAAAAAGTGGAAAAGGCGGTACTTCTGACGCGGTTTCCTCTCAGTTTTCTTAGCATTCATTTTGTAAGAAGGCAAACTAAAATCACTCAAGTCAAGTCAGTAATTACTGGAATTATTACAGCATTACATCTTAAGTGATAAATGTGAAATTATTTGATGCCTGACATATAATTTGCTACTCACAAGCTTCATTATCTCCATATTCTGACACTTTATATTTAAGCACTGGGGTTGGAAGGTGGCTCTCACCCAGGCTAAAAGAGTAAACCCGTGGATCTCATTAAAAGGTACTTACAGTCACACCCTTGTCTTCAGGCTCATTCACTGAGAGGCTACTGACGTTAACCACCATATAGCCATGCTTGAAGAATCCAAAGGTGTTCAGATGAACCTTATGCCTCACATCGTCCTAAAGAGATGTGAAGTGGTGGAATCAGTAATATGGAAAACTGCTTTTCATAACTTAACCTATTCGTTTTCTTGAAAAACTGTGATATGTCATTTCCTGCTAGCCAGCCAACGTTTCCATATGCTCAGTAACATACACAGCTGTGGTAACATGCCTTTCTCCAAAAGCTGAAGACAACTCCTCGGAAATCCACAAGATATTAACAGTTTCTGCAGAAGGAAGTACTGAATGGATTCAAATTCACTCCAATGCACTGGTATGTGTTCTAGGAGCAAACTCGGAGGTTGGCTAGAATGTGACTTCCAGGGCAGGAGGAACCATGTTTTCGTCATTCCCATATCCTTCCTGATAGTACAAAGCCTGGCATCTAGTAGGCACTCAAAACATGCTGAGGGGTGGGGAGGAAGAAAGGGAGTGGCTGAAGCTGCTCCAAGGATACACTCATTTATATAAATCCTCTTATCAATCTGTGTGTACCTGGCTCCTCCCTGCAGGGTGAAGAATGGGATCTGCACATTGACATACTAAGCTATAATTCAATTATTTAAAAAGGTGAATTTATACCTAAAAATGATACAGTGTATGATGGGTTTTCAGGGAACAAAGCCTTATGCAAGAGGAATCACAGGAATAGGAAACAGCGACATGGAGACAGAGTCTTTTGGATACAGGAAAATCCTAAGGTTTGGTGAGACTGCATCACACAGGCAGATGCCTATCCCATCTGCCTGATGCTGTCTCAATATCATGACTCCAATCTCAACTAACTCAGTACACTGCAGGACCGATAGAATAGTGGGGTCAGTGAACACTTCTAAAACTGGGCTTCCACAAACACACTTTATGTTGTGTAAAAATTGAGTTTCGGGCCGGGCATGGTGGCTCACACCTGTAATCCAAGCATTTTGGAGGCCAAGGCAGGCAGATCACCTGAGGTCGGGAGTTCAAGACCAGCCTGACCAAAATGGTGAAACCTCGTCTTAAAAAAAAAAAAAGTTTAAAAAAATTGAGTTTTGGCCGGGCGCGGTGGCTCAAGCCTGTAATCCCAGCACTTTGGGAGGCCGAGGCGGGTGGATCATGAGGTCAAGAGATCGAGGCCATCCTGGTCAACATGGTGAAACCCCGTCTCTACTAAAAATACAAAAAATTAGCTGGGCATGGTGGTGCGTGCCTGTAATCCCAGCTACTCAGGAGGCTGAGGCAGGAGAATTGCCTGAACCCAGGAGGCGGAGGTTGCGGTGAGCCGAGATCGCACCATTGCACTCCAGCCTGGGTAACATGAGTGAAACTCTGTCTCAAAAAAAAAATTGAGTTTCATTTTGAGATTTGGCTAAACTGCAACACCTTCCTTAAGTTTGCAGTTTGATTCTTTGTGTCAAGGGTAACTTTTCATTTCTAGATTTGGGGTTTCCTGGACATCACTGGTAGTCTAATAGCAAACACCAAAGGCCTGTGAGGAGGGGCTGTGAAGCAGATCTTCGGCAGAAACAGTATAAACCAAATCCTCTCCCCTCCCACACAGAGCTCTACCACACTGCACTATGACTAGCAGGATTTTCTTTCCTGCCCACTCCTGCATTCCAGGAATATAGCTTTTTGACAGTCCTAGATGATGGGCTGAGACACAGAGGGACACAGTTCCAAGTTGCCTCCCTGCTCAGGCCTAAGGCTACGGTCCGTGTTTCCCCTCAACATCTGTTAAAACCCAGGACTCTGGGCTTAAAGTCTCTGCAGCGACACAGGGCAGCCCTGGCTTCCCTGTTCTTTTGCCCACTGGAGTTTCAGCTCCTTCTTCCCTTTTTTGGGCCCCTGGGAATTTCCCTCATTTTCTTAGGACCTCAGCTATGTGGTGAAAACATGTTTGAAAACTTCCACTCCCTGGTGGGCTGGAGTGGCTTGCAGCAAACCAACATTCTCAGAGAGAACAATTGGAAAAGCCAGATAGGATAACAGAGGTCATCTCCTGGAATCCACAAGAGTGGGTCAATGGTAAAAGGCAGAAAAGCTAAGTCTCCCAGCCTTTCTTGGAATTATCTGAGAGAATTAAATCCACTGAAAATGTCTTAAGTATCTATTTTCTCAGTTCTCTCAAGGACAATACATGACGACCACCATCCTAGAGGCACAGGAGAAATTTATTCAACTACATACAATGGACGCCTTAGCACACTGGTCTTAATTCTCCGGCAGAATCTTCAGTGGAGCAGGACCCGGAAGGGAGAGGATGAGGGAAAATGAACACACAATTCCTGCCACATAAAATAATGAATGTGAATCACAGCCATATTCATGTAAAACAAACTTGAATGCGGTGGAATCATCTGTGGTGACAGAAGGGAAGACAGTGGCTACTCTCAGGAGAAAGGAGCTTTCCTGTCACTTGAGGGAAGGTGAGGCTTAGGGTGCTTCTGGAGGGGCTTGGTAATGGTTCTGCCTCATTTCCTGCCGGCTGCATGAGTGTGTCTACATTCTGGAAATGTACTGAGTTGTTTGATTATAATGAGTAATTTTTAGCATGTATATTATACTTCAATAAAGTTTAAATTTTAAAGTATGCTTTTTCTAATTGATCCAGCATGAAGCTCACTGCTAAGTGTTTCATTTATACTCACTCAGTCCAACACAATACCAGTTTTCTAGGTTGGTTTTTTTTTTTAGAAAATGTTTCAATTGCAACCTGATGGCACTTTTTCCCCATATAAACAGTACACATTCCTTTACTCTTTTTTTTAACCTTTGCATCATCATTTCACTTGATGATACAATGCCATGAAAAACAGGTTTTTGAACACTCTTTTAAACAATAACAACAGCATCTTTTCAGGGACACTGAACCAATAATAAAAATAAAAGAAGGAAAAAAAAAAACAGCATCAGTTGAGCATGGTGGCTCACATGAGTAATTCCAGCACTTGGGGAGACCAAGACGGGTGGATCGGCTGAGGTTAACAGTTTGAGACCAGCCTGGCCAACACGGCAAAACCTCATCTCTACTGAAAACACAAAAAGTAGCTGAGAGTGGTGACCCATGCCTGTAATTCTAGCTATTTGGGAGGCTGAGGCAGAATTACTTGAACCTGGGAGGCGGAGCTTGTAATGAGTCGAGATCATGCCACGGCACTCCAGTCTGGACGACAGAGTGAGACTCTGTCTCAAGACAGACAGATGGATAGATAGATAGCCAGAAGCAACAGCAGGTGCCTGTGATGCTGGCTACTCAGGAGGCTAATGCAGAAGGATCACTTGAGCCCTGTAGTTTGAGACCAGCCTGGACAACATGGTGAAACCTCAACTCTATCAAAAAAAAAATTAGCTGAGCATGCTGGCATAAGCATGATGGCACAAGCCACTGATCCCAGCCACTCAAGAGGCTGAGGTGGGAGGACAGTTTGGGCCCAGGAGGCCAAGGCTGCAGTGAGCCGAGATCATGCCATTGCACTCCGTCCTAGGCAACAGAGCAAGACCTTATCTAAAAAAAAAAAAAAAAAAAAAAGAGGGCGGTCGTGGTGGCTCATGCCTTTAATCCCAGCACTCCAGCACTTTGGGAGGCTAAGGTAGGTGGATCCCCTGAGGTCAGGAGTTCAAGAACAGCCCGGCCAGCATGGTTAAACCCCATCTCTACTAAAAATACAAAAATGAGCCAGGCGTGGTGGCAGGTGCCTATAATCCCAGCTACTTGGGAGGCTGTGGCAAGAAAATCACTTGAACCCGGGAGGCAGAGGTTGCAGTGAGCCAAGATCGTGCTGCTGCACTCCAGCCTGGGTGACAGTGTGAGACTCTGTCTCAAAAAATAAATAAAAGAAAATAAAAAGAAAATATTGCTGCCAGTAATATCTGCAGGACCTTCACCCAACCTGTTCCCCACCTCCATTTTAAGCTATCATGTCATGTCAAACACGATATGTATGGAAGTGACTTTGTTATACCTCACTATAAAAATCACAGAGACAGAGAAATCTTGAGACTGGAAGAAAACACAAGCGAGGATATGCCGAAGCAGCATGAGCATGCCACTACCAGATGCAAGCAATGGAGATTCCACTACATTCTCAACCTCCATCCTATCTCAAGAGCATGACAATACCAGATGCAGGCAATGGAGATTCAGCTACAATCTCAGCCTCCACCCTACCATTTCCATGAGCACTGACACAGCAGTAAAGGCCGCGTGTTTCACCAAGGATTTCAGAGACTGCAAGCACTTCAACTTGTCTCTAGTACTGCACTAAGAGTTGCACATCTCACCTCAACTTCTTACAACTCTATGAGGCAAGAGTTATTATGTTCATTTGCTAGATGAGGAAACAGAGGCTCAGAGAGTTAAAACTTGCTTAAAATCATAAGGCCAGTAGGTGGCTAACTTAGGATTCATTAAACCCCAAATCTATTCTTTTAACTACCACATACTTTTTACAACCAAATAAAAAGTATATCCTAGGGGTGGGCGTGGTGGCTCAGGCCTGTAATCCCAGCACTTTAGGAAGCTGAGGCAGGCAGATCACTTGAGCTCAGGAGTTTGAGACCAGCCTGGGCAACATGGTGAAACCCCATCTCTGCCAAAAATACAAAAAAGTAGCTGGGTGTGGCAGCATGCATCTGTGGTCCCAGCTACTCAGGAGGCTGAGGATCACTTGAACCCGCCCAAGAGGCAGAGGTTGCAGTGAGCCGAGATTGCGCCACAGCACTCCAGCCTGGGTGACAAAGCAAAACCTCATCTCAAAAAAAAAAAGTGTACACTATTTTGATGTTTTTGCTCTTTTCCTTCCTCACTTTAAAAACCGTTGTTTTATACGGACAATGCTATTTTAACTAAATGTCAGAACTTCCGCAACACCTTCATATTAAACTGCTTTCAGTCATTAAAAAAAGGCAATGATACTTCAATTTAGTTTTTCTTATAAACTGAATCTTAGAAAATAATAAATACAGTAACGCTTCACTGAGCTAGCTGCAGCTCACCCACTGGTGGTCTACAGAGTGTACTGACCCACACGTGTTAT